TATATATATATATATATCGCTTATGTAAGTGTTTAAATGGTTAGAAATCTTGAGACATTCGGAAAGCTTTTATTTTGGTAGGGTTAACGTTGGGAAACGGTTAAAAGATGTAATAAATAGAGAGTTGAAAGATAAAATCGTTTTGGTGAACAGGTTTAGTGATAATTCATGGTTATTAGGGCAGTTATGAATGTGTTTAGTGCTTACACTTCTTAAGCATGTTTGAATATAGTGTAAAAATCCATTTTGGGTATAAATAGATGAACTACTACAATGCATACTTAGCGTACAGAGGATAAGTATTGGAGGTTGCTTAAATGGACAAATGATTTTGGTGGGATGGAATATGAGTGGATTTATGGTGAGAATGGAGTAGACAAATAAATATGATAGGGGAAGGTATAATTGATTTTGCGTAAGCATATTATTTTGCAATAATGAACTCAATACATTAATAAGCTAGAACACTTGGACAATGCTTGGTTCAGTTTTATTCAAATTTTTATGCTATTAAATTTTTGGATGCTATTGTGAGCTACATATATTATATAATTTTTAATTAGTATTGTAGATGTTAGTTGTTATTTTAAGTATAATTATTCGGTTCATGTAAACACTTGGTAGAATTATAATATTTATATGAGACAATGCAAAGGCCATAACTCTCCATTTCTCAATATATCTTAGGAGCATGGCATCAATCTGTCTCAAACAATACAAAATCACGTATTCATGTTTCGACCCCATTTGTATCCTTATTCTCTCTATCTTCCAGACTCCATCTTTATCTGCATTGAATAGAAAGTCTTGCTGTTGACAAAGGAGAAGGGCATGTCGTGTGAAAAATGTATGAGGATATCTTGACTTTTGGTCATTCATAAGATATTACGTAAATATATAAACATACGAATGCTTAAAATTTTTATATAACATGAATTAGCATTACAAACTTTATTAAACCAAATAGCCCTGTAGTACTTTTAGAAGTCAAGCGACTCTAGTGCAAATAGACATATTTTTACTTATATTGATATTGTCCGCATCTAAATGTCTTGAAAGTATGGTATATTGATTAGTCATAAATATTACTTAAAAGATCTTCACAAACAAGCAGTTGAAATCATTAAATAACATGACATAACATTACAAACTTCATTAAACCAACAACCCTTTCAGTTGCTTTTTAAAAGTCATGCAACCATATTACAAATTGGCATTTTTTTTACTTAGTAGGCTTTTAAAATTCCACTTCAATTATTGTAAATTGATTCCTAGAGAAAATTGGGCCTAATAATGTGAATATTTTAGGAATGTAAAGAAAATCATACAAAGTATTCTAGTTTACAATGGTGGACTTTGAATTGTGATAAGTTGTTAATCTTATAATATTTATTGCTATAAGAGAAAAACTGAATTTCTTTATTTGAACCAAATTCGGTGTGGGATAAGATGAATAATTTTATTAAAATAATTATTGTAGAAAATTTAGGAGAATCTATAATTCAATAAAAAACTTGTGTATGGGGAATTACAAATGGTTATAAGGAAAAGAAAATTGTGTTTAAGCGGACAAAAAGTAGCTATTTAGACTTAAAATGATTATATTAAAAGTAGAAGTCTTGTAATAGGGATGTTGAATAAAAAAAAAAGTTACTACTTGATTTATGCAATGGATTACATACAAAGGAGAGAGAAGATATTTAAAATAGAAATAGAAAAGAAGTCTAAAAATTTTGATCAATTTAAAGTGATATCGGAGTTAACCCAAATCATAATAGAACAATAAATATTTTTACTTGAAGCTAATAAATGGTTGCAACCAATACACTTGAAAGGAGAAATACAATAACATGACATAAACAAACACCACCAAAGTGTATCCCAAGGGTGGTGGGCCAGTTAAGTGGATCAAAATGACTAGTGGGGATAGTGGCAACGAGGAAATGCTAGTGGCAGCGAGGGGGAGGTGCGAAAATGCAAGGACAACAAGTATGATTGATGTCCTAGATGGTGGCTGCGAGGAGTTGGCGTGGATAGCGTCAAAACAGCAGGAAAGAGGTGCTCCTTAGCTATCCTGGGCGGCAGCGGCATGGTGGGTGCGCTGGAACAGTAGGAAGGAGATGTGGTTTGGGTGGCAGCAATGCTGGAAGGGAGGGGGAGGCAAATGGTAGATTGAAGACTGCAGAAAACAGTAATGAGTGCTGTTGCGGGTGGTTGCAGCGAGATATGGTGGCATGGAGCGATGTGGGAGGATGTGGAAGGGAATAGGAGAAAGATAATCACCACCTCGAGAGAGATACAGCCGGAGCACTACCCGATCCCTCGAATACAACCCTCGAAGGGTAAAATGGATGTTGGCGGTTGTCCTGACAGAAATCTTAAATTTGGAAGGTAAAAACTAACTATAACCAAAGCAAACTGCACATATATATAATGTAGAATAATAGATAGAATAGGTAGGGAATAGAAGTAGAAAGGTGATGGAAAAGTAACGAAATGGACAAGGAAAGTGCTAGAAAAAAAAGGAGGTAGACAAGGAAAGTGCTAGAAAAGGAAGGGCTCGACAAGTCAAGGAATCAAATAGGAAAATGGGACGCCGTACTGTACCGGTAAGCTTCCTCACCATAAGGGCATTTAAAAATGATGATAATTGGTTCTTAGTTAAAGAGAAATACAAAAAAAAAAATGATTTTTTTTCTTTACTTATAATTAATTGTATAAGAGTTTGTAAGGAACATGTTTTTGGAAGAGCATCGTGAACACAATATTTTTATAGCTTGATTTGAAGAAGTCAAGTGGAGCGTATGCCTTATTACTAAGATTTGGAGAGTTATGAGCAATACTAGAATAGTTTGCTTGACAAATGTTTTTAGTTAAACTTTGATGAATACAAGGCTGTCAGAAAATTTGCAGAATTATTTTGTAACATTACTCAAGGACAAAGGAGATCTTCATGTTATAATAATTATAGGAGAATTCAAACTTACGAGTTAAGTTTTAGTAAAAATATAAATAAAACATGAAATTAGAAAAATTATATCAAACATATGGGAATCTATTTTATTTCATGTTAGGAATATCTAGTTAGATGCATCAAAACCACCGTCTCCCTAAAACTATTCAGAAATGGGCAAGTACTTTTTATTCAGCCTTATGATCCTCATAGAAGGAACTCTAAGATCATTCTTCCACAAGCCACATCACCTGGATTTCCCTTTGTACACATCTGTATTAAGTTGAAAAAATAAAAAAACTCATTGTTTGGTTTTATCCAACTTATCAGTCTGACTTGCTTAATCCTTTGAGGCTTCCTTGGCATGGAGAGGCAACCACCCCTGAGGAACCTATTGAGAGTAAGTTCAGTTCTTCCTTGGTTCTGCTGAAAGCCTGAAAGAGTTCATCATTATTAGGCCACTTTCACTGAATGTTTTGGCTGTTGTCAGAAATAAATTAATGATGAGCAAATTTAGCGTAGTAGAAATGGGAAGGATGTGGTAAAATTTGGTAGATTGCAAAATGATTATATTTGAATGATGTTGAGAGTAACATCTGTTGGAGCTAGGATTTATGAAAAATGAATCTGTGGTTTGGAGATGTAAAAGTGGGATAGAAGTTGTACTCAATATGGATATTTGAAGTTGATGTAGATGAATTAGATCAATGTCACCATGGATCAATGTTAGTCGTTAATAGTTGTCGAATGCTCGTCATAAATTTTAATCTGGTGAATGTTGTTGTTACTTATGTTAACACCCTGTCATCATCTATGACCAAACATTAACCATCAAGTGATTTCGAACGAAGCAACCCACCTTAATTCAACTAAAAGGTGCAAAAGCTGGATGAACCAGAAAACATCAAATGTTACGTGTATTATTATACAATGCATGAATCCGAGCAATTCGAGCACATAGTTCAGCTGCAGGTTTTGACCCTGTCCGGCTAGCTAATTCTATCACAATACAGATCTTTATAATTATACCACCTAAAGGGCTCACCTCTTCATCAAGTGATTGTCTTATCAGTAAATATTTACTCAAAGAACTAAATTACTAGGTCAATATACAAGGCAAAGAAGTCATGTATTTCAATGTAATATAATTTAGACCTTTGGGTGATGTGTTAATGGTGATGTGTTAATTTTCACTTGCAATGAATGATATTTCTCTCATAAAAAGTCAACATATTTATAAGATTTGTTGATTATAATGAATGATATGAAGTGGGAAAAAAGTTAAAAGTATTTTATCCTATAGCTCGCAGCATTGTCAAGTAATCATCTTCTATTCAAATTATCATTGTTCTTGATCATATGTTCCTTGTTCCAAATAAGGAAAATATACATAGAGAACATAATTCTTTTGTATTTTTATATCTAATATATAAAGTTCCGTAATTAAATTTACAATACTTTGGTGTTATAAATTTGTGCATGAAAAGGGTCTCTCATTTTTAAGAAGCAAATAATAGTGTTTTTTCTTGTTATATTAAAGATTAAATATGAAAATTAAGGAATTAAACATGGGATATTCAAATATAAAACCTTTTTTATTCAGATAGAAATGAATAAAGCATAATTAAATATATTTATCTTAATTGTGTACCACCCATCATGACTCTTTGATTGACAGAGTTTTTAAGGCATTTGTGTTACTAATTTGATCTCACTCGTGCGAGATGAAATTCTTAGGCACATAAAGAGGTTGGTCAGAAGGTTTGTATAATTAATTGGCAATAGGCAATAACACATTGCCTCTTCTATATATATATATATATATTATTTATTTTGATTGCATCCTTCAAAAAATTTTGGTTAATTGGCAAGGAAGGATCCTCAGCAAACCCCTCTTAAATTTTTTTTTCCTGCCTCCTGATTTCCAAAGAACTGAAAAACTTGAGAGTTTGGTGCACATAAAGCAATATGTGCAATTTAAATCCGCAATCTCATGGTAAAATACTGTGCCCTCAGCCATCTCACATGAGCTTACGTGTTGTGCGAAGTAGGATGCAAAGCCTTTGCTATTAACGGATTTGCAATTACAGGCAATAAAATTTGAATATTTACAGTCTTACTAAACCACTAACATAGAGTTGTCAAAAAGTATTTTCTTTGGAACAAGCAACTTTATATTCAGCCTGTCATGTTTATTCATTAAACAGGTGTCTAACAAAAATCATTTTTTTGAGCTTGATTATAAACTGAGCCAAACATTAATAATTTTTTTTATTAAATCACAGTTAAAATTAATTAAATAAATATCATTTATTAGTTTTTCAAATGAAAAAAAAATGTCAGATTATTATTTTTAATTCATTCAAGATAAATTTAAGCAAAACATAAACTGAAAACAAACTCGAATCAAACCGAATATAAACATCTTATTCACGAATCATTCAACCACAAGTTGGTTTACACCTCTACCTGCCAATGGCATTCTGATGTCTCCTTTGCATCTCTATATTTATAAGATCTCATGCTTCATAAAATAAACATCATAAAATTTCTACCAATGCTATTGACCCATAATATCATTAATAAAACCAACAAGGTGCAACTCAAAACAACATGCCACACATTTTACAGCATATAACTACTCCATGCCCTATTCATAAACACTTAGAATATTTTTAAGATAAATTTCTATCTTTAAACTATTAAAAGAATAGAGAATCATTCCTAATGTTCGTGGGGGTGACCATCAAAGACCCCAGATTGAATTTATAAGCTATATTTTACGGATCCAACCAAAACATTCAAATAATAATTATAAAATTGCAGAAAAAATAAGTTGAGTAAAAGTAGTAAGATTACACTAACATAGATGAGTTCTTTTTTAGTACAGGAATGTGCTGCTTTCTGTTGTATAGCCTTGCGATATTTAGCCTGCAACAACATTTAACTTCCCGTAGACTGAGAAGACCTTGTTACATAGCCTGCAAATAATTTTCTTCCAGCACCTACACATAAGCTTGAATTAGGAAATGGAGCTGCAAAATAAATAAACAAATAAATGGAGTTTCATATCATAAAACAAAATGCAAATTTATTGATTTAGAAAAGCTTACGATAAGGTTCCAAGAGATATCCTTTGGAGAGTTCTCGAGAAGAAATGTTTGATATGACTTATATTCAAGTCATTAAAGATATGTATACTAGAGTTGTTACTTGTGTTCAAACTGAAGGAGGATTGACAAAATATTTTCCTATTTCTGTTGGTTTACATCAGGGATCGACTTTAAGCCCATATCTTTTTGCTTTAGTTATGGATGGTCTTACTGGACATCTACAAGAGGATGTACCTTGGTTTATGCTTTTTGCTGATGATATTCTTCTCGTGGATAAAACGAGAGAAAAAGCCCAGGAAAAACTTGAATTATGGAGGTCTACATTGGAGTCTAAAGGCCTTCGTTTAAGTAGAACTAAAACTGAATACATGGAATGTAATTTTAGTAGTAATAGCTCTAGTGACAGAAGTGTGACTTTGGGTGATCAAATTATTAAAAGGTGTGAACGATTTAGATATCTTGGGTCCGTTGTCCAAAGCGATGGTGATATAGATGGGGATGTTAATAGTAGAATTCAAGTTGGTTGGTTGAAGTGGAGGAATGCTTCGGGCCTTTTGTGTGATAGAAAAGTACCGCTAAGACTGAAAGGAAAATTTTATAAGATGGTGGTGAGACCTGCAATGCTCTATGGCGCTGAATGTTGGCCTTTAAAAGAGAAGCATAATAATAAGTTAAGTGTTGCCGAGATGAGAATGATTAGGTGGATGAGTGGCTTTACACTTAGAGACAAAATGCGGAATGAATATATTCGTGATAGGGTTGGTGTAGCTCCTGTGACAGACAAAATTAGAGAAAGTCGTCTTAGATGGTTTGGTCATATTCAACGTCGACCATTAGATGATCCGATTAGGAGAGTAGATGTTTTAAATTCGACTTGTGTTAAGAAAAGCAGAGGTAGACCTAGGAAGACTTGGGCTTATTGTATTAAAAATGATTTTAATTTACTAGAACTAAATGAAAATATGATACTAAATAGGACGCAATGGAGAAAAAGGATTCATGTAGCCGACCCCACATAGTGGGATTAAGTTGTTGTTGTTGTTGTTGTTGTTGTTGTTGATAATTTTTTATAGGATGATTTACGTGCATACCATACAATTCATATGAATTTACACATCTAATACTTAAACTATTATTTTTTATATTTACATCACTCATGCTTAAAAAGTTGACAAAATATTTTGAGTGTTATAAATATAAAAATCAAAATTTTGGTGTTAGTTATGCAAATACATTTGAATTGTGGTATATACATACAAATGCCCCTTTTTTATATTTAAAAACATGTTTATTTTCACCATGACTATACTAAGCCTTAGATTTGATGAACTACAAAAAACAAAAAACATGCTACTGCCTGTCTAACTATATAATCTCAGCAAACTATGTAAAAATTGCTTTCCACAGCTAAAATCTATAGTTATCTCTTTAATATGTTAGAAAAATAACAATACAAAAAGCACATAAAAATAAAAATAAAATACCAAATAAAAGTGGCTCCAAAAAGCCTCTAAATATTAAAGAGTTATGACATGATAAACAAATTAAACCATTTGAAATTGATTTTATATTTTGTTTATTATTGTTTATGCATTAATTTGAAAAGAGACATATTTGTTTTCTTAAAAAAAGCACATCAAATAAATATATTTCCCGAAACACAAGTAAAACAAAAAACAAAAAATAAAAGGGGCATTTAGATATATAGCACACAATTCTAGTATATTAGCATATATCACACTTAAAGTTTGATATTTACACACATAGCACTTAAATCTTTAATATGACATTAAAAGTAGCCTTTTTAAAACTTCTTAAAAGTCAAATACACATTTTCATGCATAATTTTAAAACACCGTATGTAAATATGAAGCTTTAGGTATGTTAAATACATAAATACATAATAACTGTATGCTAGGTATGTAAATTTCCCAAAATAAAATTAAATCCCAAATGTGCTCTAAGGTGAAAAAAGTGAGTGAGAGAGAGAAAAATCATATACCCTTAAAATTGATTCAAAACCATAGATATAAAGCTTTAAAATGTACATACTTATATATTTAAATAAATATATTATGTAAAATAATAGTCTGATTAATAATTTTTTAGTTACATAATATTAAGCAATAAAAAATAATTAATAATTGAAAAAAGTAATTTTGACACCAGCTTTCAAGCATTCAAGATATGTTTCAAGGCAATAATATTTATAAAAGAAAGAAACATATTAGTAAAATGAAACTAAGGGTGAGATTAATATAACATAGGCTTAGAAAACATAATATCAATATCCAAAATCAATTTGACTCTATGAGTTGATAATTAAGCATAGAGATTACTTTTATGCAAAGTAAATCACTCAAAAATATTCAGACCAACAAAAGGATCTTGAGAAGGCATGTAAATACCAAAAGATTGGTGCATGGGGGATTTATGAGAAAAAAATTATTTCTCGAAAGTTGTTAAGGTTTATCAAAGATGTGTATGATGTAGATATGACTATAATTAGAAATAATTAGTCTCCAAAGAGCTCATGATCATAGTAGAAGTGCATCGAAAATTCATTTAAATACTATCCTTTTTATTGATTATAAAAATGTTTACAATAGACATTCAAAATGAAGTATTTGAGTGCATGGTATTTGTAAATGAAATAAGAATGAAAAATTACACTTTTCTTAAATGGGTGAAAAGTTAGAATGAGTACACTTCTAAGAAGATGAGAGACTTAAAATAAGTAGAATAGAGATGGAGCATATGATATGCATCTCTAATGGTTGTAAAATTAATAGTTTTAATTCAATTATGTGGAAAAATTTGATACCTTGTTATGATGAATATAAGAATTTCAAATAATATTATACAAAAAGAACAAAGGCATTAGATAAGAGCATAACTTCTCAATTAAAAGCCATGCAACTAAAATAGAGTAGTAATCCAAAAAAATAATGCCTTAACAAAATATCATAAAAAGTTTAAGTTACCTTTGATACAAAGACAATTATCCAAGCTGAATTTGGCCAAAATATGAATGCTAAAATAAATTTATAATAAAACTAGGAAGTATAAAGTGTTATAAATAAGAATGTTAAAATTAGGAAAAAATAAAATGCTTGATGATCATAAAAAGATAACGTGAAGATAAAATTAAATGAAACGGGCACATACTTGGAAAGGTGGTAAATGCACCAATAAAAGGAGATAAAGTTGATGTGGAATGATTAGGAACAAAAAAGGCTAGACCAAAGATAATACAGCTAAAAATTATAAAAAATATTTACAGAAAAGAGTATCAGCAACTCAAATTACACTCAACAAAAATTAATTGAGGATTCCTAAACCTTATCCTAATAGTTGGGATAAAAATAACGATAATGATGGAAGTGATAATAGCTAATATAGTCCGCCAAAATCTCCTTTTTAAAGCAAGAACTAGAAAATACAATCTAATTCATTAAATATAATGTATCATGTTTAAAGTGATAAATCCTTGCCCAAAAAAAAAAAAAAAGAACAACCACTCCTAGGAAATACTTCAAACAATTTTATCTTAATCAAGGGATCCATAGATTGATTAGGTACAAGACACATCCAACTAAGTACAAATGAAAATGCACTTTTCAAAATTATTTCCATAAGCATATAATCAAAAGGACAGCGTGCCAAGAGTTGGGTCTAACCACATTATCCTTTTCTAATATTGATCAAATCCAGCCCTCAAGTACAATAGAATATTAAAAATGGTGCACTCGACATGAAAATATGAGCTTTAGGCAATTATATTGTCTATGCGAACCAACAAATATTCGATCATGATTCGACCAGCTTTAACCAATCTCCTATTTAATATGTCAATTTCAATGTACATATGTAATTTTGAAAGCTGCATGTACTTTCACAGTAATAGTACTTTAAATTTCTCAAAATTTTACTCTCTGATTCTTTTAATTCAAACCAAACACCAAAGAAGCTGAAATGTACAAAAATAAAACACAATATACTATTAGTTTTTTATCAAAAAAGCCCTAAGCTTAAATAAGCCAAAATTAAATGAAATAAAATAAAGCAAGCAAATATGCCATTTCAGTAATTTTGAAAATTTATTAGTATTTGCAAATGAAACTCAAGAACTTTACCAACAACAAATAATAAAAAAGCACTTCTAAAGTTTCTAAGAATTTTAAATATGGGTTACAAAACTATATATTTCTAAAAATGTAAAATTATACCATTAAACAACGCAATTAGGTAACCAATCCAAATCCCATTTAAGCTTGTCATTTAAAAATCTGATTACCAATCCAAATCCCATTTAAGCATGTCATTTAAAAACCTGATTAAAGTAAGCAGAAAATTGCACAATGTCGACAAGTAAAATGGCCAAAATCAGCAATATAATTAGTAACAGTGTGTTCAAGCCTAATATCTCAAAGAAGCAAATCAAAAAGCAATGTTTCATTTGAAATCCTGAATTCAAAATTTAACACCTTATTTTACAGTTTGGAAGTGTCTTAAGTCTTAACTATGTAGCAATAATCAAGGCTAGTTTGTTTATACATTTCTAAAATGTATCATCTTCTAAGGTAGGGGTGTAAGTGAGTGCCGACTCTTGAGCTTGCTTGAGCTTGGCTCGATAAGTGGCTCGTGAACTTAAGCTCCATGAGCTAATATGCCAAAAGCTCAAGCTAGCCCTGACTCGACTCGTTAGCTCGTGAGTCAGCTCTTTTAAAAAAATATTAATATAAAATACACTCAAAATATATTAGATTTGAAGATTTAATCTTTAAAGTGTTAAAAATATTTTTAAAATAATATTTTATATTTTATATTAAGTGATTTCTTATTATTTATCTCCTAATTGCTCATTCTATTTATCATTTTATGATAACACTACCTTAAATTAACTTTATTTTCTCTCTTTTAAGAAAAAAAAGTCATCTCGTGAGTCGGCTCGAACTCGTTGACTTAAGTTCGAGCTCGAGCTCAAACTCAATAAGATTCATGAAGCTCAAGCTCAAGCCGAAGGGGATTGAGCTCGACTCTACTTGTTTACACCCCTATTCCAAGGCATAAAAATAAAATGTAATTATCTTGCTAGGTGTTTTTTTAATGAATGCAATTCATAATACTCTATTTCATTAAAAATTTGCCTACTATTACTACACAGAGTCAAATTTAACATTGTGATTGTCGAGTTCAAAGCCCCAATCATAATGAATGCAATTCATTGTGATTGTGTAGTAAAATTTAAAATGCAATTCACAGAGTAAAATTTAAAATGTGATTATCTTGCTAGGTGTTCTTTTAATGAATGCAATTCATAATCCTATTTGTTTCATTAAAAATTTGCCTAATATTACTACACAAAGTAAAATTTAACATTGTGATTGTCGGGTTCAAGGCCCCAAATGTGAAAAATTGAGGATTGTTTTAGGTAGTCAACAACAAATGTAAAATTTATCAAAAAATCATGACATGAAACCTTTTGATCTTTGTGTAAATGCTTGTGCGTCCTTGGAAGCGACGGGTTGTATGGTCTGAATACAGTGAAAAATATGCAATGACTGCTACAATGGTGCTCGGGTGTACTGTAAAATAAATAAAGGTTCTCATATTACAGACCAATATGGGTAAAATATTTATCTCTATATGAACCATAATATCAATTAGTTTCATTAATTTACCTATTATAGTAGTCATATTCCAAGAAAACTAGAATTAGATGAGACACCTAAAAAACACAAATAAAATTGTTTTTCTGAGTAAACTTCAAGATTTCAAAATTTGGGATATTTATGAAAAAATAAATTTTATGTGGGATAAAATAACAAACACTATCAAACACGTGGCAAAAGATGTACTTGGTGAATCAAAATAAAAAAAATTTTATAAATAAAAATAGTTGATTGTGGAATAATAATGTACAATAAAAGATAAAATATAAGTTGTATTATAAAAATTTGTTTAAATGTAAATGCTTAAAGAACTCAGAAAAATATAAATTGGCTTGTACGGAGACTAAGACAACAATTTGTGACAGTAAAAACAGATTAAATACTAAAGAAAGTGAAAGATATATGTAGAAATTAGTCAAACAAAGAGAATAGAAAATTAAACATTTAACTCAAGTAAAAAACATTAAAAATAAAAATAAAAAAGTGTCTTTCTTAGAAAAAGATATTCAACATAGGTTGGTGAGTTATTTTGATAAACATTTCAATGAAGCGTCTAAAAATATGATTAACATTAGTAATCTTAATATCGTTATTAATAATAAAATGTTTCATTTTATCATCATATTGGTAAAAAAGAAATTGAGGGGGCCTTAAAAAAAATTTAAAGAGAAAATCTGTAGAACCTAATGATATCACGATTGAAGTGTAGAAATATTTATGAAAATTGGGAGTTTTTTGGCTTACTAAACTCTTTAATATTATTTTAAAAACTAAAAAGATGTATGAGGAATGGAGGAAGAGTATTTTAGGGTTCGTTTGGTTCGGCAAGAGGAGCGTGGCGCGATGAGTGGTCGTTTGGTTCGGCGGGAGGATCACGGTCGGACGTTGTTTTGGCGAAAAGCGGGAAGTGAATCGAACCCCGCAGGCCGCGACCCACATTTGAGCGAGCAGCTTTACTCGCATTTCCCCTCCCTGTTCGAGCGATGCTTCGCCTCCGGCAGGAGGATTGTAGGGTTACCCCTCCACGTTCGAGCGAGCGATGGATTGAGAGGAAGTGCGCCTCCTGCATAGACGGCAGAAATGGCTCGACTGCTCCGACACCGACGACATACTAGTTCCCACGGCTCAGTGATGCACCATTGTTCGAAGAGTTGAAGGACGATCTCCCTTCTTTACCGTTCAGTGCGATTCTCTTCTGAATTGGTTCCTTTACATAGCCATGTCTTTGTCAGTCTTCCTCGACTTGTTTCTTCAGCTAATTTGATTCAATTTTAGTTCTTATCACTTGGATGTCATTGGAGCGTGGAATTTTTGCAATTTGCATGCTCATGAGAGTTTTATTTTGACATATCTCTTAATTTGTGGTGAGATTTTTTATTTTTCTTTGTCGAGGTATCGTTTCAATTCTTCTTTTTGGTGATATTTTTTGATTTGGGTGGTGTTGTACTTGTAGTTATAATCTTGGTGGAAATAGGTGTTTAGGAACTTTGTTCCATAGTTCTACCAATTAGTTTTTTTCATAAAATAATCTAACATGTATATGTTTATAAGTACTATCAAAATAAAACTTAAATATTATCATAAACACTATTATTTGAATAAGATTATTGTTGGATAACTAAATAATTCAATAATTTATTGGTATTATCAAATATATGATTGTCACAGTTCTGTTACAAATAACATTATTAAACAGGGGCAGAATGGTTATTTGTCCCGAAACAGCTGTCGCACACATAGTTGTTTTCACATAGCTGCAACAAATAACCAGCTAGCTTTCTCTCAGCAGCTTCCCGAGGCAGATAAGATGCAGCTGAAAAACTGAGAAGCTGCAACTGCCCCCAAGCAGATCCTTAGTCCTCATTTTTTAAGAATAAAGAGGTTGCACAAAAGTATGCATATTATAGAGAAATTAAGTTGATGTGTCATACTTTATTATTATGGGAGAGGGTAATTGAACATAGACTAAGACGTATTACAAAGATTAATAGTCAGTTTGGATTTATGTCGGACAGGTCTACTATGGATGATATACATTTATCAAGAGGTTTGATGGAGAAGTACAGAGAGAATAAGAAGGCTCTATATATAAGGAGTATCTATATATGTTTTTTATTGATTTAGAAAAAACTTACGATAAGGTTCCAAGAGAAATACTTTGAAGAGTTCTAAAGAAGAAATGTGTTGATATGACTTATATTCAAGTCATTAAAGATATGTATACTAAAGTTGTTACTTGTGTTCGAACAGAAAGAGAATTGACCAAATTTTTTTCTATTTTAGTTGGATTACATGAGGGATCGGCTTTAAGCCCGTATCTTTTGTTTTAGTTATGGATGCTCTTACTGGACATTTACAGGAGGATGTACATTGATGTATGTTTTTCGCTAGTGATATCCTTCTTATGGATAAGACTAGAAAAAGGGTTCAAAAAATACTCGAGTTATGGAGGTCTACATTGGAATTTAAAGGCCTTCGTTTAAGTAGAACTAAAACCGAATACATGGAATGTGATTTTAGTAGTAGTAGCTCTAGTGACAGAGTTGTAATTATGGGTGATCAAATCATTAAAAATTGTTAGCGCTTTAGATGTCTTGGGTCTATTTTTCTAAGTGATGTGGATGTTATTAGTAGAATTCGAGTTGGTTGGTTGAAGTGGAGGAATGCATTAGGTCTAGAATGCATTAGGAGGAATGCATTAGGTCTATTGTGTGATAGAAAAGTACCACTTAGACTGAAAGGAAAATGTTACAAGATGGTGTTAAGGTTTGCAATGCTCTATGGCGCAGAATGTTAGCCTTTAAAAGGAAAGCATAAAACCAAATTAAGTGTTGCCGAAATGAGAATGCTTAGGTGGATGAGTGGCTTTACACTTAGAGACAAAATTCGAAATGAATATATCAGTGATAGGGTTGGTGTAGCTCCAACGGCGGACAAAATTAGAGAGAGTCATCTTAGATGGTTTGGCCACATTAAAAGTCGACAATTCGATGATGTGGTTAGGAGAGTAGAAGTTTTAGATTTGACTTATGTTGAGAAAGGTAGAGGTAGACCAAGAAAGACTTGGGTTTATTGTATAAAAAATAATTTTAATTTATTAGAATTAAATGAAAATATGACACTCAATAGGACGCAGTGGAGAAAAAAGATTCATCTAGCCGAACCCACTTAGTGGGATAAAGGTTTGTAGCACTCTATAACTAATTAATGTTTTTATTTTAATTTAGTAATGTGCTGCATAATTAATAATTAGTGAACTTGCTCATATTATCTTACATACAGCAAACTTTAAAAAATAAATGTAGTGGATTCTATTTGCAGATTGATGATCATTTTTTACTTTGATCATTTACCAAATTTGCATCACTATAACATTAAATTTTAACAAATTGGTTCATCAGTAACAAAACAACAAAAAGCGAGTTACCTTGCAATTTTATCATAAACCAGCCAATTTAATTCCATAAAGCCAACAGCTCGAACCCATAAACCGCTAGCTCAACAAAAAAAACATCACAATAAATCCACCAAAAAACTTCATTAGAAGAATTCTCATGTTATCGAGCTTAAGAAACATTTTTTTCACTTCAGAGATGAGTTTAAATGACGGCAAGAAGAAGAGGGATAAAAAGCTTAACAGTTTAATTTTTTAGAAAAAAGAAAGGATTGCTAGAAAAACCCTAGATAAATCGAGCTTTGAGACATTATAATTGCATAAAGTTCCAGAAAATCCATCATGAATATCATAAACTGCATGAAGATCGGGGCGTTCTCAACTTATATGAATAACCTAATGAGAGAGGCTAATAGATGACTGCGAAAACACAGAATTTAGATGGAATCTAATATTGTGCGAAAAGCAAAACTACAGATAACGGAGTTACCCTAAGTCCCTTAATCCATCGTCCGCTTCAGCTCTACTTATACTCAAATGTTGGGATAGGTGTACTTGGCGAATCAAAACTCTCCAATACTTCAGTTTTTGCTCCAATTCCTCTGTTCTTTGCTTCATCCTGCTTCTTTCCACCGCCAAATAAACCACCAAACCAAGAAGAGGAAGATGAAGAAGAAGCACCGGCATCATTTGCCGTCACAGCAGGTGGCATAGTTGACGGCCCAACCCCCGGTGGCAGGAAACCGGGCGGGACTCCGTTTCCTCCACCAGCAGCCATCATTGCCACGAGATTGGGATCATCCATAGGAGGGAGGTTCTGCGGCGTGCTGAGAACTCTGTTGAGCATGATACCTGCACCCTCAATGAGCGCAAGAAGGATCCCACCAAAAATCGCTGCTCTTCCCGCGGAGGCCCGCGGAGGCGGGACCCTGACGCATAGATAGAAAGCCACCGGTAGCAGCTCCAGCGATGATAGAGTTCCACGGATCCTCTTTCTGACGGACATAAACCATGGTGCAATCAAAGGCTGAGAACAGGCCTCCCCAGACAGCAAAGCTTCCGCCGACTCGGGGAGCGTTCATGCGGACGGCCTGCACGCCTCCGGCGAGGCGCTCGCCGTTGGGGGAGTTGTAGATGCCTTTTATGAGGTGGAAGGCGGAGCCGCCGACGGCGCCCATACCAAAGGCGCCGCCTATGTCGTCAAGGATTCGGTCAGGACACGGCTCACGCGAGGTCTCTGGTGTCCCCATGGCTCGAAGGCGGAGAAACTGAGGAAACCCTAGGCTTTAACAAGGATCTGGGAGATTGATTGAGGGTTTAATATGCGGACATGATCGGACCCGAGCTTAACAATTTGTTCCGCAGCTCCTTGAAAGGAGCTCCACCAAAATTACAAATTGGCTAATTTTATGCGGTCTATTTTTTTCTTGCAGAAGAAGCTCAGAACGCAAATAATAATTGATTGTAGTCTGTTAGAATATATATATACCCTTGGATAATAAAAAAAAAATTACAATATTCGAAGAAATTGACTCAGATTTTCATTAGAGGAGTAATATAAAATATTACGGTGGTAGCGATCCTGCTGCGATGATGGAAGATCAACGACAAAGGTTTTTTGATGATTGTCATAGCTATTAGGCAATAGTGATCCATCAGCATTAATAATGATAGCTAGGTGAGGGTGATATAACGATGGTGATTTGACAACGGCAATTTATCATGACAGTGGTAATGGTCGAGCAACTGCAATTTAGCAATAGTTTTGGTGTCAATCAGACGGTAGTAATCTGATGGTCGCGATGGCCTAACAAATATGTTCCTGGGCGGCGCTGACGGAGGTGGCTAGGAGATAATGATTCGGCGAAAGGGACAATGTACCACAACAGCGGCAGCTATCATGTGTCGATGGTCTGGTATAGTGGCGACCATCGAGCATGACATGGTGACGATCGAGAGATGATGGTTTGGCAAATACAATAATGCACCATTACAACAAGGTTGTCGAGTGACGGTGATCCAACATAGTAGGACGAGGAGATGATAATCCAACAACAGTGGTAGTGCACCACAACAAAAGGGCTATTAGACGTCGATGATTTGACATAACGATGGTTGGGAGATCATGATTAGGTGATGATGGCAACCTGACAGCAGAGACAGAGAATCAACGACGATGGTGGCCTGGCAGTGGCAGTGTTGGTTCAGTGTCAGTTGAGTGATGATACTCTCATGACAACAGAAGCACATCAATAATGGTCAAACAAGAGGTGACAGATCAGCGATGATAACCTAATGATGGCAACAACACGATGTTGGTTGGGTGTCAGTGGTCTAATGACAACGACAATATTATGACGGTGGTTCGACGCGAGAGTGTTAGCTCAACAATAATGGGTTGATGACGGTGTTGAAACAACTTCGGTCGGGTGTTGGTGGTCCAATGGCGACAACGACCCGATAACGGTGGTAAAGCATGGTGGTGGTCGCATGACGTCATGGGTCTGACTGAGTGATGGTGACTCGATGTTGGTCGAGTGATGATGTTCTTATGGTGGTGGCAACTTAAGGATCTGACGTTGGGGTGGTTGTCCATTGATGGAAGCCTGATGGCGGAGGTCGCACAAAATTGGTCGGCTGACAGTGGCTTTCTGGTGGCAACGACTCGATAACAATGGTCCAACATAGTGGATGTGGCCATATGAAGGTGACAATAGTGGTCAAGCAGTTGTATTCTAATGGTGGCAGTGACTTTACAGTGGTGGTTCGACGACGAAGATGGTGGTGGTTGGGCAATGGTAGTAGTTCGACATCGATGTTTCAATAGTGGCGACGACCTAACAAAATTGGTCTGGCGATGGCGATGACTCAACAACTGTAGCCCGCGGTGGCGACGGTTCGACTACTATGATTCGATGGTATCAGAGCCCTTTAGTCATTTACTTCAGGTACAAACCCTTTCATGAAAATAGTGTGGCTCTATTTCTAAATTTGTGAGTGACATCATCTGTAAATATTGTTAGAATCCAGATCACTTCATCAGACTATTCATAATGTTTCCCTTGATATAATAATATTTTAGGGAGATTTGAATGCCTTTGTGATACCAAAATTAAGTGATTTTGAGTTCGTTGGATTCTTCTTATTGAGATGTTTGATAGTTAAATCTGATGGCTCTTACTCGAGCTGTTAGTTTTGTAGGTCAACCTGACAGTTGATGATTGACATGCAAACCAGACAAGTTGATATGGTAGTTAGTACTTGCCTTATGTGTATCTTCAGAGAGAGGGAGAGGGAGAGGGAGATAATAGACACATGAGGCCCAATAAGAGAAATAAACCCTAGCTGATTCTAGCATAAAAATAGGGTTGTAATTGGAGTGGCTCTTGCTCGGCTTGAAAAAATTATTCATGTTCGTGTTTGACTCATGTTCGGCTCAAAATTGACTCGTTAGAATATAAAATTATTATAATATTATTTTTTTAAAATTAAAATAATAAATTTTCTAAAAATATGTTTGTATAAAAATTAATTAATAATAATTTATAATATTTAATTTTATGAATATTTATTATGTTTGTGTGTGTGTGTGTGTATAATTATTTTTGCACCAATTTGAGCCGAACACGAGCGAACAAACTTTTGTTTGTTTTCGGTTCGTTTACATCTAGAACTTAAAAATTTATTACCGTTCGGCTTGTTAGACTTAACGAATGAGATGTTCGCAAACAACAAGCCAAATTGACAGCCCTAAATAGAAAGAAAGAGTAGCACAAGTCCAGAAGGCCTACTAACGTCTCTGTTAGTTCATGTAAGTTGTTTATGATTTTGTTTCCAGTATTTAGATCATTAAAAAATTTTAAATACAGTATGCAGTAAACATAATATATTAGAATAAACATAATTATCTGATTCCTTGTAAAATAAGTACAGGAAATTACTTTTTTTTGTTTAACTTTAAATAAGATGAATATAACTTTTTTTTTCTTTCATATAAAGTTTATATTAAAAAAATATTTTAAAATGCACTTAAAAATGTTTTCTAATAGATTTAGGGCACGTTAGTGGAAAACTGAAAGTTATAGACTCTGTTTGGCGCAGCTGGGCGCAGCTGTAGCTTTCGAGCTGCAGCTGCGCTGTTCCAGGAAACTGCTGCAGGAAAGTTGACTGTCTGTTTGGTGCGACTGTGTGAAAACAGTTGCAGAATAGTTGTTTCTAGAAAAAATGACCATTCTGCCCTTATTTGATAAAAATGTTTAAAAGAGAACTATAGAAGTGAAATTTTTGAAACTCCAGAAACAAAATTTATTATGTAATAAATAAGTGAATCTTCAAAGTGTTAATCATGTAATAAATTTAATTATTGAATAATTAGTTAGTAATTGTCATTTAATAAATTTATGGGATTGATTAATATATTTTAAAATGTTAACTTTTTTTAATAGTTGAACATATGAAATAAAAAACTTGTTATAGGAATGCTCTTATATTTAGCGACACGATTTTATTAAAAATACATTTTCATTTATGATCTAACATATTATTAATGAACTAATCAATCTAATAATGTCAAATAGGTCTTACAAATATATTTTCATTTAGGTTCTCCATTTTATTAGAACAAAACTTAAATAGGCCTTACAAACATACACGGCTTATACTAACAGAAAAATGGAAATTTACATGCCTGCCACAAATATACACGGCTTATACTAACAGAAAAAAATGAAACCGTAAACAAAACGGCTTAAAATATAATAAAGCCAACAACAGTGATTGGGTACATACCACCTAGTTCCTATGGATTTACATATACAACACCTAAACTTTATTTTTTACATTTATACCTTTTCCTACACAAATTTATAGCTCCAAGGTGATATTAAGTACTAAACATTAAGTGTGAGAATATGAATCCCAAAGTTCTGCACAATCTCAAAGTTCCTCCTCCTCTCTACAGAGAAAAATTTTGCTTCTCATACAAATTAGAACTTTGAGTTGTTAACCATACAAAACAAGCAAAATATATATTTTAGTACTTGAACCTTACAAAGTAACTCCCATCAAGTTTCACAAAAAAAGACAAATGTTCATCAATCAGATTAAACGAGTTTTTCTCATATATGAAATAGAAGTACGGAAACAGCCAAAATAAATGAAATGAATTACACATTGTACTAAATAAATTACAAATGCCCAAAATTGCCTTCTACTAATGCGGTTGTAATTTCTTCCCTTAACTCTGTCATTTCTTTTGATCCATCTCCTTCTCTAGTACAGATAGTGGAAGGATCACTCCCAAATCGTTCCACGGAATGCACAATGTGGCACTCAAATGCCTCTGGAGGGACATGCTCCTCATCATTGTCAGCCATATGAAAGTCAGTGTCGGTGTGGGAGGGATGTCGTCGAATATAATTGTGTAGCATCATCGTTGCTATCATAATCTGAACATGTTTGAGAAAAATGTAAGGTGACATATCGCAAAGAAGCACTCATTTCTTCTTTCAAACATTGAAAGTCCTCTCGCTGACACCACGTAAGGAGGAATGTCTTTTGTTAAAAACATCTTTTCTGTTACGTGTCACATTGTTGGCTCGCTCGAAATCAGATATATGATATCTAGTATATGGGAAGGGATTGAGATACCATCGCTGCAATGGATAACTGGTATCCACTAAATAATATTTGTCTGGAATGCATTGTAGATTCAGTATGATGTTTAAAGTGATTAATTAAAGGATTCGGTGCTGCAACATACCGCGTGGAGGCTGTGAGAAGTTGTACCGAGCATTTTGCATAGCACTTTGTCGGCCAATTTTTTTTTAAAATAAGATTTTAAAATTTAAATTTAGTGTAATATATAATGTAATTTTAATTTTGTGAAAATGGTATTTTTTATTATTTTTGAAAAATTGTGAGACTGAATAGACCTCACATATTTAATAGTTTAAATAATTGAGCACGATATCATAAATGATATATCATCTCGAATGGTGAATTTATCACTTATTAGTAGGCTTAATTATCTATACTTAAAAGTGTATAACTCTATTTTGGTCTACGAATTTATAGCTAACAAGTTCTCTTATCTAATGCACAGATTAGATAGGGTTTAGATTAATCTGGGTTCTTAATTCTCTATATGGGCAAGCCCCTATAGTTAATTACATCCCAAATGACGGGAGTCATTTGAGAAAACTCTCGATAATGATTAGAGGTTTGGTCTTCAAGAATTCAACGTTTAGGTCTTCACGATTGTTTATAGGAAAAGTCAAGTGGGATCAGTTCAAATAGGAACAGTTATTTCCAGAGTCCAAAGAAGCGAAAAGTAGGAGATGTCGAAGATACCAAATAAGATTCAGTGACATCTCAAACTAAC